TGAGGAGGGCCCTCCTATTCCTTCTGTATTGAATTGTATTGTAATTGTACTGTCCGTCTTTATATTGTAAAGCACTGCGTAAACTGTTGGCGCTATATAAATCCTATATAATATAAATCTGGCAATTATGGGAAGATTTTGTGTGATACTTTGGGTACTCTGTACCAACAGGACAAACTGTTATGACCTTGTTCCTGAAATTAGTTTGCTAACCAGGTTTTATGTGAGAACAATATATCCCTTCTTATTTAGCCTGTAGTAAATGTAGGGTGCATGTCAGATTCCAATTTTGTGGTGAAACGGGGGTACATAGTCCTACAGAGGGGCCATGAGGACTTTCTAAATCAAAGACAACAAATGAGGTACATATTTGGGGGACTCAAAAGTGGAGGTAAGAAGATGGGTTCCCCCTCTAGGCAGCTTAGCTAGTAGAATGTGGTGTACTGTATCTGGTACACCGACCAGGATGGGGTTGCAAAATGAATAAGATGGAATTTACCAGTCATCTTCCAGGTTTTATTGCCAAAGCTCAATTGGACAAGCTGAGGTTTGAAACTGATTGGTTTCTACGCAGAAGTGAGCCTGATTTTGCACTCACTAGCTTTAGTAAACAACCCCCCATGTGAGGATCTAAAGGAATATTTAGGACCTTCAATTCAGAGTAATGTATCTTAAAATTTGATAAATCTCCATATTGCTTCAAAAGCAGCAGCAACTCAGGACTATAAATCTCTGGATCAGAGACAGAGGAGATTATCTTTGTCTGCCAAAAATATATGTTGAGTGGAGACCATTGGTATCGCCCCAAAACCAGGTTTGGCCCAAAATATACAAAAATACAAAAATGCTACTCAATAAATGACACAAAGGTCAGTGGAGAAAGGGGGGCATCCCTGCCAGGTGCCATTTGTTTTTGAAATAGTGAAAACATGTTTCATGTATACAAAGATAATATGTGGGCTCCAAGACCTATATATCAAGTAGGGTGGAGTGTAGAAAGTGCCACTCCACTCAATTAAAAGCCTTGCCCATCTTCATTACTGAAATTGCAACACCAAATTCCTCTAATGATACTGGGTTTCCATGAGAGTCGCTAATTTCTTTAGAGAGGGTTGATAGACCCCGACCTTGGAAATACAAAGTGATACCTAATTGACGGTCCACTTAATCAGCAGCTGACACAGTTGGTAAGTTGTACAAGACATAGTTGAAAGCTGGAATTTTTTGCTATCAATTTGAAACTGGCGAGTTCTGTACCAGACTGTATACGGATGTACAAGTAAATATATGGTCAGTAAAGTCTTGAATCTCCTTCGCCAACATCTGAAAGTTGCTCTGTGTTCTGTTTTTTGAATGTTAAAAAGCACCACCCAAAATCCAAAAACCTTCAGCGGACTCAATTACGACCTGGGCCAAGCAAGTGAGAAAAGGAAGTTGGTCTGAGTTCAGGAAGTAAATGTGACTAACTGATCTCTTACTTTGCTTTCACTACCAGAATCTTTATCACCTGATTTTTGAGACAAAATGCTGATACCCTCGGCCTTGGAAAAAGGGGATGTTAAGGGGTGGAAAAATGATGGCTGGAGAAATGAGGGGTTTTGTCTTTCTAAAAATATTTCTCCTGCACGAAGATAATGTTACTTTTCATTTTGTGCAAATCCAATAATAAATGGGACTTTTTTCAGGAATGTTACGAAGTTGCATAGTTAAAGTGTTACTAAACCCAGGACCCTACTTTCACTGTATCCAGTCTCCCACAGTACATAGAACATAGAAATGCAATTATTTTAGTCAATTTAAACTACTAAATACCTCTTCTCATCAGCAGTATATAGCAGTCTTGTGAGTTTTAATTCTCCTTCAACTGTCCTATGAGGCTGCATGACCCCTGACCCTCTGTCTGGATAGTACTGATTGGCCCCGTGCCGATCACATGCACCATCCCCCAAAAAAACAATTTAGCAATACACACTAAACTGAGCATGTGGAGAGTGCCTTCTAGGTCTCTGTACTATCAGATCACCTGTGGAAGAAGGGGAGGATCAGAGAAGACAGGAACAGCCTTTTTACACAATACTTAGGATTAACCACTTAGTTTCCACAGTGAGTATAACAAGCATGCTTTCCTGCATATACAGACAGATATTACTGTTGTGGATTTAATAATACTTTAAGCTGGGTACACAAAGTCCGAGCAGAGTTCAGCAGGGACCATTCAGACCATATGTACAGCTTTCCTTCTGACAGAAGCCAGTAAAACCAGCATCTGAAAAGTGCTCACAGCTAATGGCTGCAAGCTCTGATTAGTGTGTTCTGGTTGGGAGACATGGGGGGATCTGTAATTTTTAGAGGAGCCATGTTAATGAGACAATGGAGGAGACCAGCTCCTACTGCTAGGATGAAAAGAAAAAAAGAAAAAGGGGAGGAGGAGAGAGAAGGGAGGGGGGAAAAGCAAGAGATGGGAAAGAAAGGGAAAGGGAAAGAAGCAGGAAGAAGCAGGAAGTATATGTAGAGATAGCAAATAAAAGGTGCGAGTGGGAGGGTAATCCTCCAAAAACAATTAAAAAAAACAGTGAATGTGGGGGATACGAAGGAGAAAAGCAGGACAGCAAGAGGACACCTTTAGGGCTTTACAAAACACATCTGACCTGAAGTTGTGACATGGCCATCCAAGCACTAAAATTAGGAAGATAGCATAAACAAAAATGACCTAATGAGTGAGTGAGACCTAACACCCTCACTGCCAAAATCTGTGTGGGCCAATAGATGTGGCTAAAAGTGGGAACAAACTAGGATATTCTGATACCTCTATACATGTATGTGGACCTAGGTTGTTCCCTAAACCCGTAAAGAGGACTTGGGAGCCAAGTCCACATACCAGACATAATTACATTGAAAAGGAGGCCTACAAGCCTTGTAAAGTTGGAGAATGTTAGAAAATAGAGAAAATAGGCCCTGCAAGAGGTTAATCAAAAATAATATTTTTTTTTCAATCCATAATCCCACAATAAACAATAAAATAGTCTTTGTCATGGTAAGAACGTGTTCACCCTGGGGAATAAGTCTACACAAGATGGTACTATTATTATACAGGATTTATATAGCATCAACTGTTTGGACAGCACTTTGCAATATAAAAGGAGACAGTACAATTACAATACATTTCAGTACAGAAGGAATAGGAGGGCCCTGCTCATGGAGCTTACAATCTAAAGGATGGGGGAGTCAATCTAAAGGAAGGAGGAGACTGCTATTATTACAGGTACTTCTATAGCGCTGTCAATTTACGCAGCACTTTACATATGTATTTTACATTCACATCAGTCCCTGCCCTCAAGGAGCTTACAATCTAAGGTCCCTAACCCACATTTATACATACACATAGAAGGGCCAATTTTTTTTTAGATAGGAGCCAATTAACCTACAAGCATGTCTTTGGCATGTGGTGCCGACAGAACACAAATAGCCCAGATCAACCAGCAGTGTTATAAAAAACATACATCCCCAGTGAAAGACCTCAGCATGCCCATAGGCAAAGAGACTTATACATTATAAAATATTTAGCTATAACCCTACTTGAGAAAATCGAACATGTCCAGGGCAATAGACAGGAGGGCAGAAGTGAAGAGCCCAATGAGGTGAAAAGATTTGTGATAAACACTGTAAGCCTAAAAATAATGTCAACATATAAATATAGTATACTCTAAAATTTACTATACACTCTGGTCAAGTTGAAAAATAACAAAAACATTTTGATAGTAGTTATCCTGTAATTCAAAAATTTGGCTTGCTCTCCAGTAGTGATGCCCTGTTTGGTTTGCAGTCGAACATTCGAACCTAACAAAAGTTCAGTCATGAACTTTGAGTTATTATCAAGTCATGCAGTATTTTAGTAGTGAAAACATTCTTAAATGGTTCATATGTCAGCCGGGTTCCCTGCTGACAGCTGACTGTAAAAAGAATTGACTGCAATTTAACTTTTTTTTTCAACTGGCTTGGGGTCCCCCTATCCATAGTAGACCCTTATCCAAGCATGCAGTCCACAGATCAGGAAAGGGGGAGGGGGACGAGCGAGTGCACCGAACAATAATAGGCCACCTGCCCTCAACATGGAGTGCTTTGGGGCAGGGGGGCTCCTTCCTCAAAGCACCTTGTCCCCCTGTTGATGGAGACAAAGGCCTCTTCCCCACATATGTGGCCAGTGGTAGTGGTGGTCTGCAGACGGGGGGCTTATCAGAATGTGGAAGTCCCCCTATGTGAATAAGTATAGAGTACATGGTACCGCTACTCATTCACACAAAAAAAAAAAAAAGTGTAGTGTAAAAAATGACAGAAGACAGTCTTTGACAAGTCCTCCAGAGTACATCCAACATCAATCACCATGTCTGCCACTGCCACCGCCGACCCGAAGAAAAAAAAAACGCTCCGCTCTCAATATTTGCTTCTACTGTCTGACAGCTGCACCAGCCAGACAGTTCTTAAATACTGTGATGATGTCACCCAGCTGACATCACCAGGCGGCCCCCGCCCCCTTGTGCCATCATGCGCTGTGATTGGCCAGGTGCATTGCTTTGGTCAATCACAATGCACTGTATGCAACTGTAGTGCATTGTTGGACGCAGCGGGCGAATAGTCCAGCGCGTGCCTTTACCATTCCTGTGTTCACCAAACACATGAACGGTCAATGTTCGACTCGAACATCAAGCCCAACTCTACTCTCCAGCATACTGTATGTCTCCTATTGTCCTCACAAAAACTCTAGTTTCATAAATGTTTAAAGTTAGATAATATCACATATTCCTGTCTAAATTATTTTACCATGAAAGGAAGAATGACCATACCTCGGTAATATTGTCAACAGAGCTCTACAAAAACTGCTGAAACTCAACAAAACACTAATCTAGAAACTGAACAGAGAAATATAGTTACATGTTTTTGCAGACATGTCTATTTGAGAAAATAAAAAATTGTATTATCAACCAAATCAGAACAATACACACTCTCTTTTGTAGTTCTTGGATATTTGTTTCCCAGTTTTTGTCCTCCTGTGAAATTTGTCTGAGAAAAAAAAAACATTTTCAGACAATTTTTGTAAAAATCTAATTTACAGTCCATTTATGACAATAAGCATCTAAATAGTAAGTAAAATTATGTGTATTCTAAACAATATAGTGCAATGAGCTTACAAAGACTGAATTATTCATGAAATATTCCACATTTCAACATGCATGCCTATATACATACCTTTGAAACGTTCTAAGTTTTTTCCTCAACAAGCTCTCTAATGTCAAAACTTTTTGCATTAGGAGACACTTAACTGCAGTCTCTTCACGACTAGCAGGATTAATCCTTTGTGCAGTTAACTTCCAAACATGAATTTCATGTTTCAGTTCTACAAGGAGAAAAAAAAAAAAAAGACTGTAAAGGTTAACGTTCATTCTGTAGTTAATAATACAGAGCCTTTTAGGAACTGTACACAAATTGTATGCACTCCTATGCTGGTTTCATCTCAGTCTAAAGCACTTAAAGCTGAATTCCAGGGATTAAATATTTTTCATAGTTTCATTGGGCCACCTTGGCATAATATTTGTTTTGTATGTGATACTTGATTTGCCTCCGTGATAGCTATAAATCACTGTACAAAAAAGGAACCAAGGTGCTAAACTGTCTCAACCACTGATGGCTGGAACTGTCCCAACAGGTCCTACTGCTATGAGATCTTACTTGAGGATAGGAGCAAGCAGTAAAAGACACAAACACAATGCAGGAACTTTGCTGGTGATGTCGGAAATAATAGCATAGGCTGTACAGAGAAAACCATATAGCCTCAATCATCCATTATGCGATCTATCCAGAGCCACACATAACCCAGTGGAGGCTATGCTATGAAGGTGGCAGCGGTATAATAAAAGTCAATGTCCAATTTTGCTCTAAAGTCTTGAGGAAGAGGTAGTGCCTTGATGCATGTTACCTTGGAGACTATGTATGTCTATTGGTACTTGCTGGTGCTGAGGACTCCAATAACATGGCTGCTTGAAAACTTCCTGTCTGGTGATGACATACTTCCAGTCCAGTCACTATACTCTTAGCACTTTGACAGGGGGGAAGCTGCATTCTCACACTCAGCAGCTCTCCTGCCCCCTCCTCTCCTGTTCATTCACAAAATTCTTTGTTTTTATTAAATGGATTCAGATAATATAAAGTACTCTGAAATTGTGCAGGGATGGGGGTGAATTGGCCTGATAGGAGACAAGGCATTTTGCTATTATATCAGTGGAGACATGATTGCCTTATATGGCTGCAGATTGAAAATATAAAACTAATTCATCTCTTACTGACCATCAGCAAGAAGGGTGGGCCACACAACACAAATACTTTCCATGGAGGATGAGGTTTCTGTGCTGAGAGCAGTGAAAACAGTCGCTGAGAGCTATTGGTCTCCAGTTATGATCAAACGCCATCAGGGTGGGCTCCTGGTCATGTGACCACTGTGTGCCCACCAAAAAATAAATAAAAGCTATATAAAATGTTTCTATTTTTTTTCATCCTGTACATAACAAAATACATTAAAAAATGACAAATTTCCTGACAACATTCAGATTTGAGTCAAAAGATCACAGAATGTAACAATTATGTAGTGTGAAAGCCAGCCTAAAAGACCATTCAAATGCAATCCAGTCAGGTAAACCCTAACACTACACTGGTATTCTTTGGAACATTTTAATAATCTTACATACAGTAAATCTGTGACAAACCTGACCATGTGTGAGCAAAAAATATACCCAATTGCAATTTACTCTTCCATCTTCCTTTAGATTTAAATTTAAATTATTTTTGGCACATACTTGCCAAAATATGAAAAGAACTGACCTATGACAACCTTAGTGTCAAAATATTTGATGATCATGTATTTGGGCTATATTTCATATCATTCAGCAGATGCGCAAATAAATTAACATCTGTTGACTGTGTTGACCAAATTGTTGCACACTCTGTGTACCAGATTATCTCAGACTGCATTTGTCTTACACATACAATTCTGTTGAAAAAGATTATGTGGCCAGCAAAACAGATTCTTCAGAGGAATGCTTCTGATTACATTTACTTTTAATTTAACATTTCTCGAACAAAGCACTGTACAGTATATATGTATACACACATACAGTATAGGCGATCATGGCAATACATGGTTAAAACAAAAGGTAGTATTATCAATATACATGAAACAAATGGGCAACTAATGGGTAATAAAAATTCAGAGACAACCAATACAGTCCCTCTTTACTTCTACTCCTGCCAGTAGTCTTTTCCCTATGGCCACATGCATTTTTTTTTTTTTTCAGAGGGGGCTGAAGAAGGGGCGGACATCCTCTTCTCCTGGCTCTCCCTTCCACCAGCAGTGTTAGCTCCTCCTTCAGCCCACTGTGTGACTGGTATAGTGACTCGGCCATAACCACTCTAGTCACCTAGTTGGCAGTTGAGTTGAAGGGCAATCCCAGTGGCCAGAGGACAAACTTCTCAGACTGATTAGCCAGAGACTCCTGGCCAAACCTGAGGAGTTTCTATCTATATAAGTCATTGTTTTTATGAATAAATACAATCTTATGATTGCTAGAGATGAGCTGAATTGCTCTGGGTTCAGCTCAAGCAGGGTTCAGAGAACTTCAAAAAAGTTTGGATGCCAAACCCAAAACTCCACTGAAATATGTGAGCTAAATCTGTAAGAGAAATGCCCTTTTTCCAGGCATTTCCCTGAAGGAAATGTACCAATGCAAACAAGATTTTTTCAAAAAATTTAATTTGGCCAGGAGCAGTGATTTTTAAGTACTTCAAGTGAAACATTAAAAATGCCCAATGCCTCTAAATAACATGCCTGGGGACAGAGGTCTGATCATGTGATTTAAATTGCTGGCAAATTACATCTAATTGCCGGCTTCTTTAAAAATGCATAAAACCCATACAAGGAGGCGGGGGGGGGGGGGGTGAAAGGGTCAGTGTGCTGTACATTTTTTTAAAAAGAGAAAAGAGGAGCAAGCAATGAAGTTTTATTTGCTGGCTATTTAAGCTATCCTTTTTCCCTTTGTAAATTAAAATTTTCCAGTAGCACATCCTCACAGCAAGAATGCATATTATCGATTTTCAGAGGCACTACACTAAAACAAAATGCATGGGGCCCTCTATGTCTGGCCTTTAATCTGAGCATGCAGACTGGCTGGCCAGGAAAGGGGGAAAGAGAGCACGCAGCCCTGCTCCTGATCCATAACAGGCCACATGGAGGGTGCCCCTCTGGCAAAGCACCATGTCATAATGTTGAAGACAAGGGCCTCTTCCCCACAATCTTAGCCAGTTGTTGTGGGTCTGTGAGCAACAGCTTATCAGAATCTGGAATCCCACTTTAAACAATAAGTGGACCCACAGATACCCGCTACCCTCTCAGTCCCATAACAAAAGTAACCTAGAAAAGCCACCTAAATATTTGAAAAGCTATTTAAAAATCCTCCAAAGTGATCCTAATTGTAAATCCATCATCAATTATAATGTCCACAGTCCACCAACTTGCTGAAAAAAAACCCCCAAAAAAACCTAATGACCCAGCGCAAAGACAAATCCTGACAGTACTGCTAGTCAAATTACTGCTCCCCAAGTTATTGGCACCTATATGAGAGAAGGGGCAAGGATAGGGGTGACATTGTTGTATGGCTCATGTCATTTGGTCAATATTATTGCCCCAGGCAATATTTGGGGATTAACATCATCACAGTGCCCACCCATTTGAGATTCCTGGTGACATCAGTGGTTTTTGGTAATGCAGCAAGTGCATTATGAAGCAATGAATAGTAGACCACCAGGCAACAAATATTTTTAGGAGGACTTGGCAATAGCAGTCTCCATTTTTTTCATGAGAGGTTCCCTTTAATTCAGCAGTTAACTGATAACCACACCACATTTCATGTGACTTTTTGGCACACCAAAGCAGCCTTACCTGCTAGAAACCTGTTTTCAGTGCCAGAATGAATAAACTCCTGTGGTCAAGATGACCAAAGACATAGAACTTGGAAGTCGACTGTGTGAAGATGTCAGTGGTGGAAACGGAATAAGGAAGACTGTGGGTGCCGTTTCAAAAGAGGAGGATGCAGGTTAAGTGTGACATAATTTGCAAATATGCAGACTTAAGTGAAGTATGGGGTTCTTTAAAAAATATATACTCAACTAGGTGGATGCAGCATTACTCCGATGCCGTATCCGTCCCCCACTGCCTCTAAGACTGAGGACCAATTAATCAAAGACTACTGTTCTCGGTCTTCAGTGAGCTCTCTGCTCTGGCCCTCCAGCACTCACTGAAGAGCTGGGTTGTGGAGGGGGCAAGAGCAGCTGGCTCAGTTTCCCAGCAGCTCACTGAGAGGCTGAGCCAGTTGCCAGTCCAGGCAACTGGGTAGATTCCATTTTTTAAAGCCAAGATATTTCCAGAGCCTGGACTGGCTGAGTGATGTCAGAACAAACTGCATTCCTGTGATCCATAGGAGAAGTTGGGCCAAAAAAGCTTTGACCATACTTCCCTTTTAAGCTCTGATTTAAGTAGGCATGGTACACAGCCGCATTGTGATATACTGCTGTAGTTCAACGTGTGACATGGAAATTTAACAGCCTTCACGAAGAGTACAATTTAAAAGTGGGAGGTATTCTAAATCAATAAAAATGTACTACATTGCTCAATATGGCCAGTCAGGTTATATGAAGTAGAGGACAAAGACAGGACTTTAGCAATGTAATAACACCTTTTCAATGTCTCGTAAGCAGGCAGCAGACATAGAATACTGCAAAGCTGAAATAGTGAATTGCAGCATCTACATCCTAGTTATGCAGTGTGCCAGTATATCATGTGTAAACATGGACACAGGCCATCTTTCATGATGTGCACATTTAAAACATAATTGTTTTAGAAGCCCACCATACAAGTTACAATCTGACTGTGCATTTTTTGTACAATCTTTAGATTTACCAAGACTAGTGATAGGTGTTAGTAGATCTAAAGGAGATTGTACTTTTAGATTGTGGTGCACGTTAAGAAACTTAATTGTTCTTAGTAATAGCCTTCTTTGCTAGTCACACAGATTTATTTGCTCTATATAGCAACTGTTAATTGGTAGACCTTAATTATCAAAGTACATGAGACCACAAAGTTCAACTTTAGTATGTAACTAAACAAAAACAATTAAAATAGGAATGCATATTAAAATTTAGTGTATATTACTACAAATTAGCTTAAACATTTGGACACATTTCCATTACAGATCACTATTATATATGGCATTTTGGCACTCTATTTACTTTACCCTTGGCATCCATTGGTTTCAGCTGTAGTACATAAAACCCTAAAAATGATTAAAATGTTCAAACAAGAAATCAAAGGCAAAGCTTAGATTTAGGATCAAATATGTTTTTCCTCCACCAAACAGGTCTAAAATGGGCCTGGACAAAGCTTGGAAAGGTTAAGAGATATAGGTTTAAAGCTTCTCAATAATGTCAACAGTAAGCTGCAGTGATAAATGCTGAATATAGGATTTTGGGTGATCTAAAGCAAATTTTATGTGTGTAGAAAACAGTCAAGCAAAAGGTAAACATTTAGAACTGGAGCCTTGCTTCTTCAAGTATAAATATTGCAGAACATGGATAGTTAAAATAATTAAAGCTGTGTATATAAGCAAAGATTTTTTCTCTGTATTAGAGAGATTTAAATTCAGTTTTAGAGGGGGGGAGGATTAGGCCGTCAGTGCATTTTATAACACCTTCTGTGTCCATTAAAGGATAAGCTCACCTTTGGGAACATGTTACATGTTCAACAAATGTTTGGGGGGGGTCATGTAACATGTTCCCACTGTTGCAGCCTCTCCCCGACCCACTACTGCTAGTGACATCAAGCCAGGGATCTTCTCCCCGAACTCGCTGTCACAATTTAACCACTTCAATACTGGGCACTTTCACCCTTCCTGGCCAGGCCAATTTTCAGCTGCTAGTGCTGTCGCACTTTGAATGACAATTGTGCAGTCATGTAACACTGTACCCCAATGAAATTTTTGTTTTTTAGAGATCGAAAGAGCTTTCTTTTGGTGGCATTTAATCACCACTGTTTTTTTTTATTTTATTTTATGCTAAACAAATGAAAAAACTGAATTTTGAAAAAAAAAGCCCATTTTTAGTTTCAGTTATATAATTTTGCAAATAGGTAATTTTTCTGCACTGATAGGCGGTACTGAGTGGCACTGATTATCAGTTTAAATGTCCCGTCACTGGAAAAAACAGTTATTGGCTTTCCTTTCCTCAGGCTGCGACAGCACATTTGTTTACATGTGATCAGCTGTGATTGGACACATAGTAAAGATTAAACAAGAATGGGAGAACATCATATGTGACCTTTCTTGCCCTACAAAAAAAACTTTACACTTTAAACTGTTACAGCATAAAGGAAAAAAATGCCAAAGGTGTAGGATAATGTCTAATACATATAACAGGTTTTGAAATTAAAACACCAAACCAAAAGCAAACAGTGCTGCAAAATCCTTAATTTACTGGTTTATCACAAAAAGTCTAAAATTATTTAAGATTTTGGACCTATGACATACATCTGACAGAACTAAAGACAGAAGTACAAGAATTATATATTTCAAATCAGTTGTTCATTGGTTAACGCTATTTTGTCTTTTGGGAATAACAAATATACATCATTTAAGCCTGTAATACTTGTTGCACTATATTAGTTCATCAAAACTTTAGCAATAGAATACAGTGATGAAATATTCCCTGTGCAAAAAGATGTATAAAATAATTGGTACAGTTAAAAATAAAGCAAGTAAAAATCACAGAATGTAAAAATACAGAAATCAGCAAATGTTGAAGATGCAATTTCATCTTCCGCTACTGATACAGCAGAGTTTTTGATTGCTAATCAGAAGAAATGTAACCGAAAATGTTTTTGTTGATTGAAGTTGATTGTAGTTGCTTTCTGACAAGCTGTAACGATGAACTACACCTGTATTTCTGTAACCCCACTGTTCCAGGACTATGGGAAACATCTCATTATGATATAGAAAGGTTATTTGTATGCCGCTATTAAAAATATATATTTTTAACAAAAGTCAGTTACACGTGTCAAAAAGCCAAGATATTTTAATTCATTTTAGTAGGAATTCACAATCTCCTTCAGTTGTGTGCATTTCAAATGTTAACAAGCCAAGTATAGAAAGTTAATTTATGAAATTTCTGTTTATCAAGAATAATTTACAGATATGACATAGATGGAGTGCATTAGAGTTCAATAGCCAATCCTTTTCTTTGTTCATAATGAACAGACTGTTATTTTAAAATTTTCAGAAGAATCCAGCATACACTGATGTGATGGGATGGAGAGCTATCAGTTCACTGTCAAGTGCCTATTTAATGTGGAACTAGAATACACCCTAGGAAGAAGCCTTGTTATTTTTACTCTTGACTGTTGAAGAGAAAATAAATCATAAAAAAAAACTACCCACATCAGCTTACCAACAATGTCACTGGGTTCATGATTGTACAGCTTTTTGTTCCAATATAAGATTCTAAGAAATGGGAAAGAAACCAGCAGAACCAGAGAGATTCCAAGAAACATATGCCCTGTGAATCCAGCAAAATCCAATCCCTAGAAAGGAACAAGAAAACATTTATTCATACAGTCTTGGAACCATCTCTAGTGGCGTTAAACATACAACTGCAAAGTGACGGGGGGGGGGGTAACAATACCTTAACTGGACTTTAGCTGCCCAGTTTATAAAGCATAGGCTAGAGATAGAACAGCAATGTGTTATTAGTGGATGCTATAGTTAATGTCTCCATGTGTTCTTTCTTCTAACATGTAAATTACCCTACTGTCTCTAGCAGGGCCAAGACAAGGGGGGACAGCCTCAGGTTCAGTGTTTTTTTGTGAAGGGGTAGCACTAGGAGCTTGCCAATGCTCTGTTCTCTAGCTGCCTGAATGACAGAAGTGATGCTGCCATCAATCTTCTCATTTAGGTAGCTGAAAAAAGGAGCTCAGAGCAGGGACTATGACAGCTGTAGGAAAAGATTCCCCTCTCTCTTACCTCCAGTAGCAGCCTACTGTAGACAGAAAACAGCAGGCAGATTGGATGTCTCCTCAGTATAGATAACCACCAAGGAGTGAAAGCACATTTCCCTTCTTGTTTTTCCTTGTCATGTGACATGATCGGAGGTGGGAAGAAGGAGTAGCTACCTTCATTCCTGGGTGGGCGAAACAGTGAAAAAGAGGTCTAATCTGTAAGTGCAGAACTCCTCTCCCTTACTAGAGCTCCTTAGTTAAATATACCCCACAAAGACCTCCAACCTGCCAAATCCACTTACTCCAAAGCAGTCCTCCTAAGGCTCATACCACCAATGCAAGGACATTTTTTCCACTCATTGACACAATATAGTGGAATTTCTACCTTCTAGTGACATCAAATTAGGGTGTTTTGTTCCTTTTATTGACACCAACACAAGCATTTTTCCTTTTAGTGACATCACTGATTCAGAAACATTCATTAATTTTAGTGACAACACAGATGCCGTGAACCTTTTTCCTTTTCATAACACCAAAGTTTCAGGCGAGTTTTCTTCTGTTTAGTGACACTACCGTAGCAGGGGTATTTTTTTTTTCTTTTCAGTGACACTACCCAAGTAGGAGCATTTTTTCCTTACACAGGTGAGATAAACAATGTCCACTATATAATACAGTTCAAGCAGACCCTATAGGTCAATGGTTGTGAAGTCCATTCTGTGGCTGCTTAATTTATGGAGCAGGAGACAGGTCTGGAGGAAGAATCAAAAACTTGTCCTTGTTTTTTATTTTTCCTCACAGTAATGTAGGGGCATTTCTTTGATTTGGTCTCATATTTTACTTTTACAGTGTGCGGGTGAATAAACATTACCCTTGCAAAAGCCTAAAAGGCCTATAAAAGCTATAAGGGGCTAAATATTCTTTTATCAAATATTAACACAGAAAAGTCTATCCAAAACCATACAAAGCACTAATCTCAATGTTCACAAACATAGCTAATGTCCCTTTAAATCTACAATACACCACATGCAATGTTTGAAATATACTCCCCCAAAAAATCCTTATATTCAAAATAATAGTATGATAAAAAAAAGTACAGAAAAGTGCTTTTGAAGACAAAAAGATCCACATTCTCTTGTGCCAGGATGCAAGCAAACCAATCCAGACACCAACTCCACCAGAAAAGATAGCCAAACTGCTTACCCTTTAATATGACCCCTATATCACAAGGAGTTAAACAAAATGCTTGTTATGCCACCATTCCATGCTACTTCCTGCTCCAAACCCACTCAGATGTCTTTCCCAGGATCTCGTGGACAACTCACAGGACCCACATGGAGGGTTTCCAGGGCATGCATCTGACACCACAGGAACGTGGGACAGCAAGTATTAAGCCATTCAGGCCGCTACACCTCTTCCCAAATGGACCATATCATTAAAAAGGAAGCACACTGACAATTTTGCACACAAACTCTTTTTTGAAAGCGTATATACCAAGATTAAATAGCAGCTTTTAAACAGTATCACGCTGTGTGCACACATTAAAATACTTGTTATAAACAAAATGGCATTATCGGTATCAGTATCCAGCATGCATGCACAAAAACATAATTATGTCAGACACTGTCCTGTCCACCTAATGAAGCATTTCATTATAAATAAAATCTACAGGGGAAATGGAAGTAGTGAAAAAGTCAGATCTATATAGGTTGACAGCCCTTAACTAAGATGGATACCTCATGTTTCTAGAAGCCAAGTCATGGACATAGGAAAGGATAATATAAATGCATGAAAATGCATCCTGCTACACCACCTCCATTAGGCACTCCAAAGGGTTACCCAGCACTGGTCCAAGCACAAATTGCCCAAGCTCAAGAACAGGCAATGCAGGCCAAGGCAGAAGCAAAATTACACATACCTCAGAAAGAAGAGGGTGGAAGCAGCAGTCCTAGCTGAACTAAGAGTTTTTAAACATGCTGCGGAGGAAGAAGTCATCCATCATTTTGTCTTGACCACCTCTAATGGCTCTGCAAGATAGACTTTGTGCAATTTGTCCTAAGCCAGAACAGCAACACAATCACAAAAAGCCCTTCTAATCTTACACACAATGCTGCAGAACATCCACTGGTACAAAACATTGCATCAACCAACCATACGGGTCAGCTAAATACTTTGAAAACTCCTCTGTTGCCCAAGGTGCTGACACCCTATACAGTGATGAAATGCCATCTCAGACCCTCCTGAGCCCAGATCACTAAATTGTCTCAAAATCACATTGAACTAGGCACAGACTTCCTGAGACTCCCATTTCAACATCCACAGATATCAATCCTCCACCTGTACTGAACCCATCTACTTCTCCATTTTTTATTCCACCCCAGGTACCCATTATGGAACCAATAGTGAACCCAGTGGTGGCAAAACCTTACTATCCTCAAGAAAAGTTGGCAACAGCAGATGCTAGATATAAATGGAAACATCAAATATCCTCCTCATCTTTTCCTTCTTTAAAAGTTGATTAGAGATATAGTCAATTCCAGAAATCACTCAACTTGTCTGTTGACACAAATGCTTCTAACTTCACAGCTGAAAGGCATCAGAAACTATATGCCTAAGTACAAGGACTTTTAGAGATGCTATATTTGTACTTTTAAAGCCTTTGGAAGAACAAAGTGAGTTTCCTAAGTAGTCACATTTGCTTCAGAGGATGTGCATCCTGAAAAGCTATAGTTATGTTCCTGGAACACAGCAGCAGTAGCATGCACGATCAGACTTGCACCCAGAGTCCTCTAAACAGAACACTATGCCCAGTAAAGACTTCTTACCCCTGGTGAATTATGGCACAGAGAGCCATGAACACTCACATGCAACAGCCACAACAGTGAGCTTCTCCACAAAGGACTTTGAGGGAAAAAATCATGGAAATTTAATTTTTTAAAAGTGTTTTCCCAAGGAAAACGTAGAAAAGCAGTTAAAATGTATGTTGTCTTAGATGATCAAAGCATTAATTCACGTGCAATTTCAGAATTTGATAGCTTTCAGCATAAAGGGAAATGTTTTGTCCTATACATTGTGTACCTGCTGGCTCCATTGAAATTTTAGGAAAAAATATCTTTTGATTTCATTATTGCTCCTATAGAAGGAACTGAGCATGTTCCTCTTCCTATACTGATTAAGTGTAATCAATTGCCTAATGACAAGGAGGAAATCCCTAAATATGATCTCTTCTGAATCTCACCAGAGGTATTTAGCTAAATGCATCCCACTGCTTGTCAAATGATGCCAAAATCATGATTCTGCTGGGTAGAAACATCCTAATGCAGGCCATAGACGGATCGTTTATCAGCTGAATTTTCATCCGAACGAAAAAATTGGCCAATATTCACACTGTTAGTGGGGCAATGCCGTCGGCCGTTTTTCACGGATATTCTCATTTCTTTTTATCAGTCATGCTGGAAAATCCATGAAAAAAATGGCCATTTTTCGTAAGCATTGGTGGCAGCATCCATGGCAGCAACGACCAATTTTTCATTTATCGGCCGACAATTCGGCCGATAAACGGCCCGTCTATGGCCAGCCTTAGAGTATAATAAGGTATGTTTTCAGCACAGTGGTTGGAATCACATGTCTTAAAGTCAAAAGTCTGGACTAAGTTGGGTAATTATCAGAACCCACAACAAATTTCAAGCCTCAGAAGATGTGTGCTCTAATAAAACTATTATACAGGGAAATCAAGGGTACATTAAAGAACAACTTTTTTAATATCCCTGGTGAGAACACTCCAGGCTACCATTGACAGCAGCAAGCCTGCATCTTCTTCAGATGATCAAGAATTCAGTGATTTGGAAATCCAAGTTAACATCACTGACAGCTCAGTCAACACACCTGGAATTCAGTTAGAGGTGAACAACCAAGGGAGTTGTACTGAATTTTCTGGCCTAATCACTGTTTAAGAATGTTCCTTTTTTGGAAGTGGAGTTTTACAGGGATGGCCTTTCCAAGAGGTTCCTTAAGACAACTATAGGGGCTACTCCACCGTTACCACCAAGAAATTATGCAAGTCTTGCCACCATTGAAGAAGTCACTTAATACTTCCAAGAATGTACTAACTGTTTCAAGTGTACATTAATGGAGACACAGACTTCACTATTCCAAGGATTTACTACATTTATTTTTTGTTTCTTGTTATCCCTCTCTTTGTCATCTTACAGATCCAAAGGACAAGGATCATCCTTGTTTATGTACTTCAATCTTGTGTTGCTTGTTATTATCAAAATATTACATGTTTAGAATAGTGGTATCTACTAGTAATAGGTGGAAAGTGTGCTGCTACAAGTAGCCTGTTTTATTATTTTTATCATGGTGTTGTGTCCAGATATATTCCACTATTTCTCCCTACTGTTTTGTGTAAGGTAATATAGCCTTCTTGTTCAATGCTGCCAGCCTCTCTTTTCCCAATTTCATCAACTTTCTCCCTCAATGTATTAGGTGGGTTTTCATGGTGTAACAAGACTTTCAGAAAGAAATGTATTTCAAACTTTTTTGGCAAAAGACAAGGAATCCTATCCTTTGTAGTGTCAAGATTGAAT